TGATTGACAACATAAACTCAAGCTAGGGGGTAGATCCAGCGGTGGTGGTTGATGAGGGTTTGGAAGGTGGACCGGGGGGTGGTTGACGAGCAAAAAACAACAAGATTGTTTTCCTAGTGTCGGACAACAAACAAACAATAGGGTGCGAAGTGGGTGGACTGCCCGAAATGATGACAGTAACGATGGAAGCCTGAAATAACAATGATGGTGGAGGGTTGGAATAACAATGACAATGAGGGGCTGGGCTGTGGAAATATGTATGAAAACAACAAAAGGGTTGTTGTCAGTGTGGTCTGCAGCGAGGAGGGAGGCATGACAATGAAGCGGGATGGACATGAAAGGGTGTAGGGCACATCACCTTGATCAAGATACAACTAAAGCACTACCTGTAACTCCAGGATACAACCCTAAAATGGGAGAAGCGACGTCAACGATTGTCCCGATATAGAACATGAAAACTAAACCTAAAACACCAGGAAAACAAATACATAGTAATAGGATAACTAGGATTGACCCAATGGGACTGCCTGACTCCACCAAAACAAAATACCTGAATCAATTTGGTCGAAGCACAAAAGCAGGATCTGCTTCCCGTTCCTTAGTTTCCCAGGGTTTGAGGAGCTTGAACCTCATTCGTCAAAATTTCTTTCTATGCTTTGAAGGTGGTGGAGTTGTTGTAACCTCGAAGGGTTGAAGGTCTTTCATTGCGTCAATATGAGCTCCGGGATCTCTTTAACGGTTGCAATGCCCCCCAAAGCACCCGAGCAACTTTTCCCACTTGCGAGTAGCCATCCATACTACTGCACTCAATTAGGATTTCTTGCCAAATATTCTGTGCAGGGTCATCCAAAGGCAAATCCAGGTCGAGTCATCCTTATCTAGCTTGAGGATAGATTAAACTCCTAACAGTGGCATCCATTGCGTTCAAATATCTAGTATGATGTATTGAAACTTTCTCCATACTGGCTGTCCTATGTCTAAAACCAACTCTTCTATCTCAGTGTCCTCTATCATCACAAAAATTAATCCCACATACGCTTCTCTACTGGCAAGGGCACCTGTAATCTAGGACTTCGTAGAAGGTAGAAGGACGATACACCTGTCATCCTTGGTGAAGGAGCCAGTGTTCTTGCACCCTTCATGTTGAGTCTTTGATTAAACTGTCACGTCATCTCTAGCAAAAGTTGACAGGCATCTATGGGCGCCACGTAGCACTACACTAGATTCTGTGGCTAATTCACAATTGAAGACTCCACAAGACATACTGTCAATGTTGAATCTATTTTACCTCAACCACGTTATGGAGTATGGATGGGAGTGTCTCTGAGTCGTGAGGCTCAACTTGTCCATCATCTATGTCGATGCCACATTCTTTTTGCTTCCTCTATCGATGATAAAACTACATACATTTTCCTTTATGGTGCAACATATGTAAAATATGTTGTGGCGAAGCCACTGCTGATCCATCATAGCCTCAGTTTGTAGGACCCGTCAAAGCACATGCACAATGCCCTCATCCGGTGGTAGATGATATTCCTCACCCGTTTCTTTAGATGCCTCTTTGTCTCTAACTTCCTCTACTGCACCCTGTTGGGTATATGATATAGCTCGGCTTGTTGGGCAACTGGAGGCGATGTGCCCAAGATCATGACATTTGAATCATTTTCTTGTTGGACTGTACTGGGCGTGTGCTACTCGTCTCAGGCTTCTTCTCACTTTGATGGGCTTTGTCTTTCTTCTGACCAGTCCTCTCAACTCCTTGAGGCGTGCTCCTTTTGATGTCTCCAATTGCGAGTGGTTTTCTGAATGACGCTGGATGTCTGCTCTGCTTCTGCCGTCTCTTCACCTTCAATGTTAAGATTTGGATGCTTCCAACAAGGCTATAGCTAGACCACGTTACTAATGGCGGGATTCAAGTCTTCCAAGTACGTAGCTATCATATGCTTCTCTAGGTCTATGAAGACCACATTTCAAATTGAGCTGCATAAACTCTATTGTGCACTCTTCCACTGATAGGTCCCTCTATTGTAGGTAGTGGAGCCTCAAGAAAAGATCCCAACGACAATGTAGGGGTAGGTACTGTCACTGCAACTCTCTTCTTCTTTTTCCCAAATAGTAGTCTTACTCTGTCTTTCTCTATTTCTCTCCCTCTTTAGGTTCTCGCACCACAATGAGGCGGTCTTCTTTAGCTTGATAGTAATAAGTTTCACTTTTTAGTCGTTTGACACCTCATATTATTCAAAAAATTCTCTTGACGATCTGTAATCACTATATGAAGTCATCTAGGTTCATCATCCTCTTGAAATTTGACTCTTGAGTCTCTGTATCCTTTAACGAACACTTCCTCTATGAAGAGTTGGTCTTCTAAAGGCGGCTCCAGGTCGAGTCATCTCTATCTAGCATGAGGACAGACTAATTCCCACGATGTCCCGAAACTCTCTTCATAGACCAACTCTTCTATCTCACTGTTCATTGTCATCACAAACATTAATCACACCTAAGCTTCTCTGCTGGCAAGGGCATCTATTATCTTGGACTTCACAAAAGATAGAAGGACGATGCACTTGTCATCCTTAGTGAAGGAGTAGGTGTCATTGTACCCATCATATTTAGTCTTGTCATCAAACGGCCACGACCTACCTAAAAAAATGTGACGAATATGTAGAACTACATACGTTTTCCTTCACGGTGTAACATATGTAGAATATGTTGTGGCGAAGTCACTGCTGATCTATTGTAGCCTCGGTCTGTAGGTCCCTTCAAAGCACAAGCATATTGCCCTCATCCGGTGGAAGATAATATTCCTCACCCTTTTCTTCAGCTGTCTTTCTGTCGCTAACTTCCTCTACCACACCATGTTGGGTAAAGGGCATAGTCGACTTGTTGGGCAACTGGAGGTGATGTGCCCAAGATCATGACATCTGAATCATTTTCTGGAAAGACTGTACCGCTTGTGTATGCTACTCGTTTCAGGCTTATTCTCACTATGAGGACCTTTGTCCTTCTCTTGACCAGTCCTTTCAACTCCTAGAGGCGTGCTCCTGTTGATGTCTCCAACTACGGGTGGTTTTTTGAATGACGGTGGGTGTTCGCTCTGCTTTTACCGTCCCTTCACCTTCATTTTCAAGTCTGTTTAAGTACCTAACTATCATGTGCTTCTCTCGCTCTATCAGATCACATTTCATATTGAGCTGTATAAACTCTGTTATGTACTCTTCCACCGATAAGTCCTCGGTTGTAGGAAGTGGAACCTAAAGAAAAGTTCCTGATGTTAGTGTGGGCGTTGATGCTGCCACTGCAACTCTCTCTTCATCTTTTCCCAGGTTGTAGCCTTGCTCTGCCCTTCTCTGTTCCTTTCCCTTTTTAAGTTCTACCACAATGAGGCGCCTTTTTTTAGCTTGACAGTAATAAGTTTTACTTTCCTGTCATTTGACACCTCCTTTTATTCAAAAATCTTGTCGACGGTCTATAGCCCTTCTATGAAATCTTCTAGGTTCATCATCTCCTTGAAATTTGATATGTCCACTTTCACTCCCGAGTCTCTGTATCCTCTAACTGACACTCCGTTTCTGTATCCTCTAAAAGACACTTTATCTATTTATCCTCTAATATACGCTTTATCTCTTGGCCTTCTCTGATACTATATCCCAAAGGATCATGACATGTATTCTTCTTCGTTGGAATCATTCCTATGGAAGGGATTCAGGTGTTTCTCTCTCACTTTGTCGTAGCTCGCTACCACCCTCGGCGGTGACCATGGGTTCTTTCCTCAATGTCTTCAAGCTATTGTAGCACTCGACAGAGTTGTTGTTGTATCTCTTCCGTAGTAAACTCCTGATCAGCATTCGACACTTGTCTTCTCGATGACATGATTAGGGTTTGGGGTCATATGTGGTGAAAGGGTGTGTAAGAATGATGTGGGGTGGGAAAGAAAATTTTTGGGACGATCGACTTGGGAAAATTAGCAAAGGGAAGGGTGTTGGGTGGAGATATGGTTGGGTATTGGTGGATGCTATAAATCTTATGATAGTACCAGGGTTAGGCTAACTATGATGCCAATTGATACCGGAGTTAACCAAACAACAATAGAAAAACCGAATTTTGGAAATCAAATAGGAAATTACAATGAACATACAAGAATTTTAAATTGCAACAATTGAGAACACAAATTCAAGCCAGGGGGTAAATCTGACGGTGGTGGAAGTAATCAGTGAGGGCACGGGAGTGGAAAAAGCGGTTGGCAAGCAGAAATGACAAGGCGGCTATTTCCCCGGTGCTGTGCAGCATGCAAACAGTAAGGAACGATGTCAAAGGGATTTTCGGGGTGGTGGCAGCAATGATGGAGGGCTATGGTGGTGGCAGCAATGATGGAGGGCTGAATAACAGTGACAACAAAGGTGGTGGGCTGGAACAACAATGACAGTGAGGAAGATGGGCTGGGCACAGGAAATCTGCAGGAAAACAGTAAAAGGGTTGATGTCGGGGTGACCTGCAGCGAGGAGAGTGGTGTGACAGTGAAGTGAAAGGACGTGAAAGGGCATAGGAAAGATACACACCATCTGCAGGTGAAGATACAAGCCGAAACACTATATGGAACCCTAAGATACAACCCTCGAAGGAAAGAAGAGATACCGACAACTTTTTCGATACGAAACACAAAAAATAAACCTAAAACATCCTGAAAATAAATTTATAGTATTAGGATAACTAGGAATGGCCTAAGGGGACCAACACACTCCACCACAACGAAAATACCCAACTGGTTCGGTCCAGGCATGGCAGCGAGATCCGCTTCCTGTTGTGGGAAATCCCGCATGTGGGGGATACACTCTTGTAGAAAAATTGATGTTTAAATCAATTGTGTTTGGCATGTTTCTTTTTAGGGTCTTTTCTCTTTTAGAAAAAAAAATGATGTTTATATCTGTACCTTCTTAAGATAATGAATTTTGATGATATTGTCTCTTATTTGGTGTTTATACTTCGTCTTGAGATTTCATCAGGTTGAGGAAAAGTTGCGGTTGCTTCATGATAGAAAGTCTAAAAAGCTGCAGCGCCTGGATGAAAGAGGTGCGGAAGCTCATAAGATTGATTCAACTCAAAAACTGATAAGGAAGTTGTCAACACAGATAATGATAGCAATTCAGGTTGTCAACACTATATCAACAAAGATTAATATGCTGAGAGATGAAGAGCTATGGCCACAGATATATGAACTCATCCAGGGGTAAACAATTTTTGTTTTTGAAAATATTTAATTAGTATTTTTTTAATTTAAATTGCTTTATTTATACAACAATGATATTTTACAACTTTGTTATTTTATGAGCTCACCTTTTGTATTACCATGTTTAGCAAGTTATTTTTAAGTTTTATTGAGTAAAATTTTAGGAAGATTTACATAGATAACACGATGTATATGTATTTACATATCTAATACCTAGATTTTAATTGCTTGAACTCTTTAACTTTGCAATCCTTTTTAACCCATGCTTTTCTTTTTTTTTGTTTTTCCCCATCTCTTTTTGGGCATGTTATAATTTGTTTTTTTTCTGAAATAGCTTAATATTTCAGAACTTGAGTTTGGATTATGTTGATATCATTGTATTGTTTTTAGGCCAGAATAAATGTGCCAGTTTAAAAATTCGTTATCATATTTTGGGTTTCAGACATGTTTACATTGTTTTTGTACAATGCAGGTCATCATCACCATTATTGTCGTCATCATTATTATCATCATCAATATTTTTATTATCACATGTTTTTGTGTTAATTTTTTGAATTATTAAGTGGCCAGGTTGGTCCAGCTTTACCTGGTGTTAATGGGTTAACTGTAGGATTTCAAAGTTCTTGAGCTCAACCTTTTGAAGGCATTGATGGTCTCCTATGAATTAATGGTTAAAAAGGCTTCCAATGTCATCTACACGCTCATAAGCTCATTTATGTTCTAAAACATTTATCCATTGGTGGTTGGAATCACCATCTCACTATGTTAATCATTGGACATTGTTGATTTGAATTCATCAATAATAGGAAACCTAGTTTTTCTGATTTATTTCTAATATGGCTTGTGAGGTACATCATGAACTCTCAATCATAAAAATGCTGTCCACTTTTGCCTGATGGACTCAAGATTTTGTTCTTGTAGGTTTTGGGATGGGAAAAATAATTATTCTTCTTCAAATCAATAGGAAATGATTATTCTTCTTCAAATCAATAGGAAATGATTATAAGATAAATAGAGGGGGTGACCCCCACGTCAGTAAAATCATAAAATTTGTCATAAATCTCCATAATAAAAGGTGTCATAAATCTCCATAATAAAAGGAACCATGAATTTTAACATGCCAATAATTCTAAATTCTAAAAATAAAAAAAAATACTAAATAGAAGACACTAAAATTAAATTTTCTTAAAATTGCAAGACCCTCCCACAAGTTGTAGCATAGATATATATCATGCCTAACATGTATATAAGGAGCTCAAATTTAGGCCTGAACAGTCCTTTGGTGAAGATATCAGCTATTTGTTGAGCAACAACAACAAAACCTTTATCCCACTAAGTGGGGTCGGCTACATGAATCCTTTTTTCTCCATTGCATCCTATTTAGTATCATTTTTTCATTTAATTTTAATAAATTAAGATCATTTTTTTATACAATATGCCCAAGTCATCCTAGGTCTACCTCTACCTTTCTTAACATAAGTCAAATCTAAAACATCCAATGCAGCATGATTGTACAAAAAATGTAGAGATTGACAGACTCTTTATAAAAGATAAGAATGAGTGTGGAACTATTTTATTTACATGCTTATTGAAATCTGTAGCTCTTCAAGAATTCTTTTCACCCATAACTAGGACTGTAAATGAGCCGAGCTTAAGCAAACTCGGGTTTGTCATGTGTTGGGCTTGTACAACATTAAGTCTGTTTGAAATTTTCTTGTATTTGAAATTGATGGTAAACAACATGTTCTTTTTTAGCTCGATTTACATATTTTTGTTCGTGTTCAGCATGAAAGTAGACCGTTTAAATTAATTAGAAAAATAGATGTAGGGTATTGAAACTTGCATCGTTCTTATGCAAAAAAAAAAAAACAAACACTAAACCACATGATCACTCAAATTATAGTGATTTAAAATTACATATAAATATATATAATATATTATTATATAAATAATATATATAGTTTTCTTATTTCTAGTTAAAAGCAATCGTACACTATTGAACAAAGGGTTATTTGTGTTTGGTTCGTTTATAATATGAGCTGAATTTTTTTTTTTTTTGTGTTCCACTCGCTTATTTAATGAATAATTCAAACACAAGCTACTTAATGAGCCGAACACGAGTTGCGGGCGAACAACGCTTTTCTTACGGCCTTACCCATAACATCTCTCATATTCTATTAGTCATAACCATATATTCCGCCTTAGCACTACTCCTTGCAACTACATTTTGTTTTTTACTTCGTCATGCAATATGATTTCTTCACAAATAGGTGCAATATCCAGACATCGATCTCCTGTCAATAATTGAGCCTGCCCAACCTGCATTAGTGCACACATTTATACTCTTTTGTGTGGTCTTAAGAAAGAGTAAGCCCTTACATAATATACCTTTTAGATGTTTGTGGATTTTATTGACTGCTTCAAGGTGTTTCTCATAGGGTGAATACATAAATTGACTTATCAAACTGACAACAAATACAATATTTGGCCGTGTATGTGATAAATATTAATTTCATCACTAATTTTGGATACATATTGTATTCACCGGGTTGCCTTTTGTCCCATCTCTTAGTTTCTAATTGGGATCAATTGGAATATTTGTAGTCTGCACCCACTTATCCCTGTTTTCTTGAGAAGATCAAGAACACACTTCCAATGGGATACAACAATTATTTTTTTCGATAGAGCAACCTCCATGCCAAGAAATTACCTTGGAGCTAAGTTATTGGTTCCAAAAATCAATGATAGTGAAGTCTTCAAACATTTTATCTCATATGCATCATTTTCTGAAAACCATTGTATGATCTCTTTGCCCTTGATTATACCCCTTCCCTTCAACAAACAATGTAAATTTTTTAAATTATTCTCTTGGTGGCTGCTTTAATCTGCACAAGGATTTTTTTAGTCTTCACTTCTTTGTGCCAAACTTCTTACTAAATTGCGTAGGTGCATTTATATGCACTTCTTTCTCCAAGTCCCCATTGAGAAAGATATTGTTTTTATAAAATTTTTATAGGGACTAGTCAAGATTAGTTGCAAGTGACAAAAAAACCCTTTCAGAGCTTAGTTTGTTGACTATGATGAATGTCTCTAAATAATCAATGTCATAGGCCTGAGTGAATCCTTTGACAACCAACAGAGCCTTGTACTGCTCTAGAGGACAATTAAAATTATACTTGATTGTAAACACTCATTTGCATTCGATAGGTAGGAAAATCAATTCCCAAGTGCCATTTTCTTCAAGAGTTTTCATTTCTTAGAGAATTGTGTCCTTTCACTTATGAACTTTTAAAGCATTATGAACAATACTAAGAAACTCCATACACAATAATTGTGAGGTAAAAACATTGAAAGCATGTGAGAGACAATGGATGTTGGGTGCAAGACTTTTCCCCAATGCGAAGGCTAAACTCATTTGACTTTCGAATTTGGCTCGGATTCTGGGTTAGACGACTTTGAACTCAAAGATCAAGTGAATTGAACATGGGCTAAAGGATTAGTGATTGCTTTAGTGGCGGTTTCGTGGATTTTGGGCAGTTGAAAGAATTCGTTGCCTCTTTATTTTGAGTTTTCCTCTGCCACGAGTAAATAATATCAAACAGTATTACTGTCGTAGTTCTTTTTTTTCTTTTTCTTATGAACATCATGAGATGACATTGTAGGAACTTCAATATGTAAAAGACCCGACACACACTCTTCAGATGTTGTATTACTTGGGTTTTTAGTTTCAATAATCAAGGTTTTGAGTCTTCAATTTAAAGAAAATCTTGAAATTTAGTAGACAAAATTTTGTTTGTTTCCTCCCTTGAAGATGTGGTGAGAAAAAGAGTTGTAATTTAAAAAAAAATGTGACATCCATGGTTACAAATATTTTCTTTGAATTGAGATCAAAGCATTTATGCTATTTTTTGGTTGAAAACATAACCAACAAACACATTTTTTGACTCAGGGTTCAAGTCTTTCTTGATTATGAATGTAAACTAAAGTAATACACTCAAATATCTTTTGAGGTAGAAAAATGAGAGTCGATTCTTTGAAAATTTTTTTTGAAAAACATCTAAAGTTGTTTCAAAGTTTAAAATTTTATTGGGTATTCTATTTATGTGAAATGTAACAGTAAAAATGACGATACCCTAAATATATTTAAGCAACTGATTTATAAATAACAATGCATGAGCTACCTTCAATAAGTGCTTGTTTTTTCTTTCAGTCACATCATTTTGTTGTGGAGTGTCGACACAATTAATGAATTATTCTTTTTTCGAGGGAAAATTGACCTAAAATACTTTTGAAGTACTATATGTCATTATTAGTTCGTAATATTTTAATAACTTTTTTAAAAATGTGTACACTATGGTGTAAAAATTTTTGAAAATTATTTCCACTTCAGATTTTTCTTTCATTAAATAAACCCAACTTAATCTTGTGTGATCATCAGTGAAAGTCATAATTTATTTTTTACCATAATGTGTAAGGTTTTTACAAGGATCTCTGGTATAGTTATGAATAAGAGTAAATTGTGTGGTGGGTCGATATATTTGTAGAGGACATGATGCACAATGGTAATTAGCAAATTGACAAACTTCATATTGAAACGAAGATAAATTTTATTATGAAATAGTTTCAGAAACAAAGTATTTTAGATACTGAAAGCTAGTATGACCTTCTCTATTATGCCATAACATAATATTAGTGTCTTTAGAAACAGAAATAGAATTTAAACTAGTATTTTAATATTGTATATTCGATTCAAGTCAATTTTCAAAATAATAGAATTAATTTTTTTTCTTAAAACTATCATTCATCCTCCCCATGGTCAAATCTTGAAATTCACAATAAGAAGAATTAAAATTTATCTTGACATTGATGATCACTAATGGATAATAAGTTATACGATAGATTAGGAACACTAAGAACATCATGAAGGGTTAACAACGAAAAGAGTTTGACTGTTCATATTCTGAAAAGTGTCGAGAGGGAACCGTCAACAATATTTATTGGTGAAAAATAATTTCAAATAACCACTCATATGATTAGTTGTACTAGAATCAGTTCCAAGAATGAGAAAAATTAGAAATAACACTTTACAAAATAGTGGTTAAAGAGTTACATTTCTGTCAGGGGCAAGATGGTGTCGTTGAAAATTTAGTAGATTGTAATAGTTTGTGCAAATGTTTTAATTGCCCTTTTGTAAAAGGAATTGCATTCGAGTTAGTAGGAGCTCCCGAGTTTCTTCATCAGTGGCTCGATAAGCTTGCCTTCAAACTTAAATTTTGATTTCTAATTTGCAAGTTTGCCATGAAGCTTCCAACATGTCTTTTTCGTGTGTCATGGTTTTTTGCATTGCTCGCACCATCATTTCTTATGCACTTTTTTGTCAGTATCAACCTTTTGGACATGAGTCGAATTCTTCTGTTCAATGTTACAAGATGATTCGGTGTTGTACAACATAATTTTTCATGTTGAATGTTCACATGTAATTTTAGAGAAAATTTCACGAATTGAGGAAGAGGATTTCTACCAAGGATTCAGTTTCGGACTTCATTTAAACTTCGATTAATGCCAGTTAAGAACATAGAGACCTGTACGGTTCCCTCTCTTTTTTGTGGCAAGCATAATCGTTCGACTTCTCCCAAATGTCATCTCAACATTGATCAAACTCCTGTCATAATGTTACAAACTCATTGTAATACGCAGTAACATCTCAATCATGTTATTTGGATTCCAAAGTTGAGTTTTCAACTAAAAAATTCATGAAGAGATCTTCAACGACCTCCAAAATAACTTGAGGAGTGGGAAGGCATAGATAAGAATTTCCTATGATAGGTTTCATGGAGTTGATGAGTCATGTTATAACTAGAGAACTTTCTTATTGTTGTTTTTTTTAGATTCGGATCGATGGTAGTATGTTTTGAAATTTCTATGATTAAATTCCCAATTTTGACTCTCCTATCGATTGCCAATTTTATGGATTGAGCCACTCAAATTAGTTGTGTCTATTAAGTTTTATAACTGTGAGGTAAGTTGGTAAATTTTGAAAATAATACCTCTGCTGATACAACCTTGGGAGAAGTTGTAAGGTGGCTGAGGTGGTTTTAAAATTATTAACCGAGTCCACTCAAGGTAGCATGTTTCAAGCTTATCTTTGTGATTTAAGTGCATCTGAGTGACAAAACTGTGGACAAAAAAGACATATCTTGATGGTTGAGACCTATCAAATTTATACTTAAATGGTTTAGTTTTACTCTACTTAATTGGTTTCACACTAGACTTTAAGAGTTTAGGTTGAACATTTTGACACCCTAATTTGTGAGCCTTGTTAGCATTTAAAAGATCATTTAAAATGCCATATATAGAATTGGGGATTGAAATTAGTGCTTGAAGTGATTAGACTATTATTTGATTTGTTATCTCAATTAATCCTCTAATAATACATTTTTTTTATAATTTTATTGCATCTAAAATGATTTAAATCAATTTCTTATGAGAAATTTGACTATAGATGCCATGCAATACACTTAAGTAGGAAAATATTTGCACTTTTTTTTTAAAAAAAATATCTTAAATTCATTTCAGATGATTGACGGAATTACCCCAGATAAGGGATATTCTTGTGTATTCGATGACAACTTTTTGTAGTTAAATCATCTGTAATTACATGGAATAATGAGTTTGACTGGTGCAAATATAAGAGATTATCCATCATTTAAGGTATAATTCCATTACATGAACTTTCAGGCAATTCTCTCCTAGAAAACATAAAGCAAGTTTATTTACCTAATTAAGCATAATATGATTCGTATATAGTCAAATTTCTGTTTTCTTAACTAAAAATGAAGGGCGAGCGGCCTTGTGTGTTCATAAAGCCAAAAATCATATCAACCTCGCTTTCTCAATGCTCGTTTTCTGGGCAAGTGAGCGGTATTCTTGTATTCACTAGAACCTTTGAGTTATATTGCGATGAATAAGGGCGAGTGCCCTAGGACTTGGAATAATGGGACATTGGCAAGGTTTATCACCGTCCTCATAATCATTTACCATCTTCAATATGGTGTTCACATTTATGACCATCATTTGCATAAATGTCTACAGATCAAGGAGGGTCAAGTGATATCCCTTAATCAGGAGTGCTATTCAGATATGGAAGAAAATTTAATTATGAGGGCTAAAAAATCTTAAAACTTGTTCGAAAGTTAATCCTAATATTAGGTTGAAGTCTTTTTTGTATTGATTTGTATGTAGAAAAATAATGGATTTGTAATACAATAGAGATTGTTGGGCCTACCTTTAGTGTCTGAGATGTTAAAATATAATTGTCAAGTTGGTATAGTTTTAGTTGATGACTACTTGATAGTGATGTTAGCTAAATGATTTTAGTGCAGAGATAAGAGATTTTAAGAGTTTAATCTTATTGATTTTGTGCACTTCCTTGTATGGTAGACTTAGAGTTATAAGCCTACAGTAATATCAGTTGGGAGTTATGGTTGAAATCATGCATTGGAGAATAGTTTTAATGAACATTTAGTCTCCATATTCTCCACTTGTCCATGTTTTGATAATATAAGATCAATGCTTTAAAGAATGAGAGGCGCTTCACTTGTCCATCGTTGTTGATAATAATCTTTTTTTCAAGATGGGTCGACCACGTTTTTTGACCAAGTAAATTAAAGATCATGACAACCTAAGACGAAGAAACTAATGATATCTTGATCGGGCTCATCATAATTCCCCCACCATCCGTTCTTAATCCACGGTGATAAATTTAACAACCCAGAAATCTAAATCTATTACTACTATGTGCTAAGTTTGAGTACTTAGCTTCAAATGATTAGCCTTTATCAAATGTGTTCTACCATTATTGGGAGGGGTAATTGATCATAAGGGTTCTCGTCTATGAGAAATCTAGAATCTTAGATCTTAAAATCTTCACAAAATGAGGGTGAAATTTCTGGGCAATGTCTTATCTACTTTTTTATTAATCTTCTAACCCAGAACTTACGTAAAACCATTCACTCATTTCCTTTCATTTTATTTCCATTTTCTTTCAAGAGAGGCCGAGGCATCAAAATTTTAGTGCCCGTATTTTCTTAGTACCAGTAATGTCTGAGGATGTAAAATAATTGTCTACTCAATTATTTCTTCTTGCATGTTTTGCTAGATTCCCTGGCTTCTTTTTCTCTTATTCCTCCACAACTATACTTTCCCACAGCTTTCGATTAGCTCCTCACCTCATTTGCTAGAACACAGAAATTGCAGTCATCAACCTCGTGCTCAACCCATTGACTTGTCATGCCGCGGATGATCTCAACACTGCTTGCCAAACATGTCCAATGAGTTTGTTGGTCATCTTTCCAGTGCTGACTCAAGAGCTTGTTTCTGCAGCTACTCTGCTCAACTGTACTAATTATGACCTCACCAACGTCTTTGTCAATAGCCAACTCGCATAAACCCTAACTGTGAAGCTCTTCTCATCTTACCTGAAAAATACTGCTGCCACTAATGCTTGTCGCCCCGTCTTGGAATTGAACTCTGTTGCGAACTTCCCTCAAACCGTTGCCAGTTTCTCGCTTTAACTGACAGTTTCCACTAGCTTTCCTGCAGTTAGCTGCTGAAAGAAAATCAACAATCCATCATCAGCCTTGAAAATGCTTGGGAGAGATGCATCCTTGTAGATCTCAGATCTGGGTGAGGAGCAACTAAAATCGCTATAATTCAGACTTAACATTGTCATCAGGTTTTATTATCGGAAACAAATTTATAGAATTTTAATCTTGATTTGGGGAAGAAATTTTTTTACCAAAATTTCTCTAAATATGTTTTCTTATGATTTATTTGGAAAAAATTGGTTGAAATTTGATATGAATGTTTAGGAGGTATCTGATTGATATAAATGAAACTTTGAGTGTTAGATAAGTAAATTCATTAGAATTGTGCGGTGTATATGTAAATTTCCTTTTTTTTTCTAAATCTGTAATTGTCAGTCAGTCACTTGACTTGTTAATCCAGGCTTTTCCAGTTCAATTTTCAATTTTCATTTTCAATTGTCCCCCATCAACCCTAATTCTCAATTTTCATTTTTAGACTTGAAAAAATGTGGAAAATTTTGTTGGGATGCCACCAAATTCAATACCAGGCCATCTCTGAATCTAGTTATATAGATTCCCTCACATCCGGAGGAAGACTCAGTGATTCACATGTGAGTGCCGTCATGCAACTAGAACTGGAGCTCCTAAAATGGATCGCAAACTTCTCCGCTTGGATAAATCTGCAGAAAAACTTCGTTAAATCCTTAAACAGTTGGCTCGTGCTTTGTCTTCGCTACGAACCCGAAGTAACTGCTGACGGGATACCTCCTTACTCTCCTGGGAGGATTGGCGCTCCCCCTGCCTTCGTCATCTTCAACTCCTGGTCTCAAGCTCTCGATAGGGTCTCCGAAAATGAAGTTCTGGCCGCCATGAAGAGCTTCGCTTCCAACGTGAATCAACTCTGGCGCCCCTATGACATCGAGCTTCGCCAGAAGATGGCTGCAAATAGAGAAATGGAGAAATTGCATAAGATGAGGGAGAGGGAGGCACAAGTTATAGAGGGGCTAAACAGAAAACTCGTCGTGAATTCCGCCGTTCATGATGACCGCCCGCTGAGCCATCTGTCCGAACCCGGTAGTCTTCAGTCTTCTTTAAAGCATGTATTTGAGGCCATGGAAAGCTTCTCGACCAATTTAATGAAAGCTTATGAGGATATTCATGCTCGCGCCGAAGAAGAGAAATTGGAAGAAGTAAAGGGCTCCCAGGGTTAAGAGATTGTCGCCGCAAACACGAAGCCGCAGACTTCCGGGAGCAGTTGTCGCTGTGATTCATAGAGGGAGGAGATCTTGTGACGAATCGACAGGGCTGCCGGGGGGGTCTAATGTTCATCCAACGACAATGAACCAAAATGGTGAGAGGAAGGAATCAAGCAATCAAAAGCTTATTTTATGGTTAAGAATGGAGGGAGAGAACAAATATGAGTGGAGCAAAATTGAAATTGCAGGTTGAGGTTGAAATTCTGAAGCCAATTTGGGGAGGGAGTTTAATGCAAATCGGATTATGGATGGAGATGGGGATGGGGATGGGGATGGGGATGGAGGCCTGAGATATCTTGATCTTATTGAGAAATTGATGGGTTTCAGCTACATGTTGTGATATATGAATCACCGTCTTTGGTTCACAGATGCAGGCAGGCTTGTTCTCAGGCTGAGGGAATCAGTGTGTATTTCTGTAAATAATTTAATGTTATTTTTAACAAAAAGATCCTCATAAGATGATGTATTATGTATATAATCTAATTGATTTGAAGTTATTTGTACTGTTGCTGTGATAGTAGAATATTTTTATTTGCAGTTCGTAGCTTTAAGGATTTTAGTGAACTGTTTTTGGGGATAATTACATAAATGCCACCCAAAATATTGATATTTACAAATCGATCCCCTAGTCCTCGAGTCGAATCTTTTTGAACTACCGAACCGGTGTATATAAGCCACTATGAAACTACTTAGAATTTGATAAAAATGACAAATTTGGGTTTGATTTTATCATGCATTTTGATATTTGAGTGAATTCTAAAAATGGATGAATAGTGGATGGTTGATTTGTAAATATGTAATAACTTAGCTGGTTGTGCCATTATTTTTATGAGTGAAAAAGCAAGCTTTATGAACATATCACTCAATTTTTATTTATTTACATATCTAACATCTGAATTTCAATTTTTTACATATATACCACTATACTCATGCAAGAAAGGTGTATTTAATTTATAGAAGTTAAAATGGTGGTAATTTTTTATTTGATATGAAAGATTTGGGTTGTATAAATGTAGAAGTATTGGGTGTTATATGTGTAAAAGTGCTAATTAAGTTACTTCATAAGCGTGTATAAAATAAGATTAGGCGGTTAATTTGTAAATATCAATTTTTTCGGTGGTCTGTATGATAACATTTATAGAAGGTACATTAACAATAATAAGATTAATTTTTTTTTTATATTAAATTTATATTTGGACTCTGAAGTTAATAGAAAGGACTAAATAAGCTTAGGAAAATTGACAGTTGTATGATATTGAAGATATCATTTATAAGCATGCATAAGCATGAAGAGTCCACCATAATGAAGACAAATGAACATTATAGTTGGACTAATGATAGTGATGATGGTGCTTAGTGAATAATGATACTTTTTAAATTGCAAAAAAGAGTTTATATTTTTTCACTTAAAAAATTGTTTTTCTAGTAGTTTTGTTACATGCCTCTACTAGAAAAAAAACAAATTTTATTTCGCCCTTTCAATGTTGTGAATACCTAGAGGCGCTAGACAGCTCTCTCTAAGGAACTCGGCAAAAACAAAGTTCTCCTCGAAGTCGTGAGACCATGTATGGGGGTTGATGCATGCCCAGTGTCGGAAGGTCAAGGAATTTGGTCACCTAATGACAGGGGAGTCGCAGCTATTTGGATCCACATGTATTGTATGCTAAAAATTTTGTGATTGTGGGATGATTAGTGCTTCTTATATTTTAGTGTTGCATATTGATTCATGCAGATTCAAATAGTAGTTTTCACATAAAAAAATTTGCAGAGAAAAAAATTATGGATTTCAATTAAAGTAAAATAATATATATGGCGTGTGTTTCTCCTTAAAATCACTCAATTTACACCCCAAAAAAAATAGGAAAAATTTCTTACAAATCACGTATTTTGCATGGCATTCCATAAATGTAATGAAGAGTATTTGAGAAGTATTAGAAGGGCGTGGTTGGTGATGGTTAAGGATAGTTATCAACTGCAGATGTATGTTCCATTAGTGCAATTATAGAAGGAAGTTTTGTTTGTGAGTGGCTATAATTAAGAGGTAAAACATGTTGGTGGATGTTAGTGTTGGGAGAGAACATGCAGTTAACATAAAAGTCTTTCGTTGGTTGGCATAGTGCAATTATTCTTTTATAACAACAATTGATATTGATGATCATGAGCATCAAACATCAAGCTAGAGTTTTAGAATTCTTCATATCACTAATTTCTCTTTAATTTCAAATCCCCTTCTTGTAAATAATTAATGTCTTTTTTCTACTTTTAACCTTTTTTTTTGTTATTTTAGCCAAAATTCATTAACATTCGATCAAATAACTAGTGTTATTTCTATTGTTCACCGATCCATTTAATCAAAATGTTTGTTTAGTCCATATGTTAATTAAAACTAAACTATATGTTCATAGAAAGCAAGGATAAATTTGTCATGAAAAAGTAGATCATGAAAATTCAAATTTGCATACTTGCATAAAAATTCTTGTTTTATTGATAGATTTTTTAGTGATATCCAACTAACATTTATCTCTACTTTATAATCATATATTACACTCAATGCCTTCAAGTTTAGCATATGAAATCACACTATTATCTTAATATCCATGAAGTTCTTATAATACATTGACTACAATTTGCTTGCTTACTCCCTTAATCTATCCAATAGCTCTATTACCAAAGAAGACAATTTTCACTTATAATAGAAGATGGCAACAAGGAAAATCTCATGGCATCAATTCTATTTAGAGCCATTTACTAGCATGCCACACAACTTTCATGCATTTACATATCTAACCTCAAAACATTCATTCATATTTACTTGCATACGGCTCAAATCCTTAACACCACGTCAAAAATACCATCATCATCCTTTTAAAACTGAAATACATTTTTTTCATATATAGGTTTATGACACCGAAATGTTGTAAGGGTAAATATCAAACTTTGGTTCTTAGGGATGTAAATTCATAAGAATTTTGGGGTATTTTTGTAAATTTTCCTTCTATTTCTTTTTGTGATTTTAGCAGAAGTTTTGGTTTGACAAAGCCTATGGTGGCCAGGCATATTCATATGGCTTTATGGTGGTCAAAGGGATATTACCCCCAGCGTATGCAATGGGGAATTTTAATTTTCTTTCAAAATTCATAATTTAAAGTCCAAATAATACGCATTGAAGAAAGATATATAATATCACTATCATAAAGTTAAAGTGAAATTACAAGTTAAATAACTAAAATAAATGCACAATAATGTATGTTTTAAATAATGATCTAAAATATCTACATGAAAAATATACTATCTGCGCTGATTTTAAAGTGATTTAACTGTATAGAAGAGAAAAGTATGACGGAGGCAGGCTCACTGTCATGAGAAGTGAGGCCTACTTGATCAAACGAACAATGTTGTACGAGCCAAGCCAACTGGGCCAAAACAGAGTGAGCCGCGACGAAGACGATTGGATGATCCAAGCACGAGCCATCCGACCGAACGAGATTAGAGAGTGTCCGAGCCAACTACTACATGAAAGCCAGCTCGATGAGATAGTCTATCTCCCATTACAACTGATCCAAAGGAAGATCTAGTTTCACAAAGTATCTCAAACCATCTCGTGCAGATCCTAAAAACTCCTTACTAATGATCAAAGATAGCCAAACAGGCTGGATCAACCAACAAAATCATATCGACCAAGTTCAGCTGATCGAGCTGACCTCATTGACACAAAGTTAACTAAGATTAGCTGACCAAGCAAGAAGACAACAAAATAAGAAGTCTACACTTGTAAAACACCATAAATATTATAGTACAAACCCCTTCCAAATATAAGTAACAATGTAATATAACTATTGCACTCTCCTCTATAAATATAATAAATAATATATGAAGAACATATATTATTTAACATTATTTATTATTGTTCATCTTTCTCTCTCTTAGTCTCTCTCTCTCTATTTACGCTCCATTTTTTGGGGGTGATTCACGGGCGTGATACACAGAGAATCTCTGATCCAACGCATGCGTACAACTTAATTCCAAGCTTCAATTTTAACATATATGCCTCATTGTTCAAGTATGAAAATGATTATTTCACTTTTTTTTAAAGTTAAAATAGTAGTATTTTCAAAGTAATATGAATGATTTGATTGGTTGAAATGCAAAAAAGCAAAATTGAACTGTTAGATGTGTGGATACATAAGAATTGGGTGATATATGGTTTGCATGTAAATACCCCTTATTATCATAAATACCACTCAATTTTTTTGTATGTACATATCTAACACTTTAATTTTAATTTTTTAATACATCCACCTTATCTATACATGAGAAATATAAAAAAATGTAAAATTTAGGTGCTAAATATATAAATACATGGTAGTTGGGGGGTATGAATGTCGTAACAATGTCCATTTTTTATATTAAATGTGAATTCAGTAACTCAACTATATCAGATATCACGAATTGTTCGGAAGCAACTCGAGTTATAATGTAAATGTCCAATCATAACTTCTTATTATGGTAATCTTAAGATCTGTTTGGGACAGTTTTTTATCTGTTTTATATTTTAGACCGTCATTATAATTCGACTTCTTTACCACAACTTTACAAACATCTTTTTTCAACAGACCCTACTAACTTTATCATTATTGTTATTATATAATATTGAAAAAAAAAATGTAATTCATTCAATGAATGTAATCAGTCAACATTTAAGAAAAAGTAATTTTCTTCGACCATATAATAAAAAAAATGTTCAAATTGACTTAAGTGACAAATTATATATATTATATATATATATATATATATGCATATAATCGTTTTTAGAACATAGATCCAAGGAAATAATGACAAAAAAATATTTTATTATATTTTAGACAGAGTGTGACTAATATACAAATTATTTCTCTTATTGAAAGGGCATTTTCAAATAAGGTGTTCATTTTTTTTTTCTTTTATATATAATTATGGAAGACACACTATTGTGTTGTTAAGGAAGATTTTTTTTTTTTCGATTGCAAAAAATAATAAGTAAATAAATAAAAATGAAAAAAATATATATATAACAAGGGGGAAAAGATTCTTATTTTAACCGTTACAACAATATCTTCCTTTCAACCAAGAGATTCGGACATGAATGTTCCTCTCCCAACCCTTCAACACTTTATGCCATGCAGGGTTTATGGCATTGTGCTTTGTTTTGTATGACGCTTATTTTTCATCTTTAGACAGATGTAATGCCCTGATACCATTTGAACCGACAGACGCTATTTAGCTCTGCTATCTAGAAGGAGAGACAAAGAAATGTAAGTGTGCTCTATAAGAAGGATGAGAACATGTTCAAATGTGGGATTGTGACCAAGTGACACGGCTAAGGATCGAGAGAAAGGGTAAGAAGAATGATTAATCAGAATGCCTCGTTTTGTTGTGTGGATGATGTGAGAGTGAGTTTGGGTTGAGACGAGTGTTGTAACGGTTCTATTAGAAAAAATATTAATAAGAAAAAATAAATAGAAGAGGAAAGAAAGGCAAAGAAGATGAGGCGAGGAGTCAGAAGCTGAAGCGAGAGGTGAATCGAGAGAGTATGGGAAATGAATGAAAGGGAGGAGAAGAAGTGTTAAGGTCGGGAAGCCGAACATGTAAGCTCTCCTATAAGTGTGTCGTATGAGGGAGGCGAGAGTTGATCGACGGCGTCTCTGCCTTGTGGAGGAAGAGTTAGTGTTGGTACCGTGCTAAGGAAGAGGAAGCAGGAGGAAGCAGACTCGAGCGAGAGAGTCAAAGCCTCATGTTGGTTCGATCGAAGAAGAAAACTTGAACCTTAGCCGCTCACATGTAGACGAAAGAAGTTTCGGCTCGTAGAGGAAGGAGACTCTGAAGTGCAAAGCCTTCCTCGCTTGACCAAAAGCTTGGAGAGTAAAATAGGTGTGGGTTTTCTTCGGCGTGCGAAAGGGGAGGGAAAAAGGTAAGGGTTTGATAATAATAATAATAATAATAATAATAATGATAATAATAATAATAATAATAATATATTTATATAAAAAAATATTTATTGAATATAAATTAAGCATGATTCATAAAAAAATTTAACCTTTAAATAATGAAATGCTAATAATTTATTTAAAAATAATAAATTAATTAAATTTTATATCATATGTTAGGCTTTTATTTTTTAGAAGAATTGACGTCAAGGATAATTGCAAATTACGTGTAATCGAGGTGTGTACTTGTACTTTTTAATCAATAGTATTAATTTGTTTTATTCTCAAATATGTTTGCGGTTGATGATATTTGTGTTCGTTTTATTTTGATTAAGATATTATTTTCCTTACTTGTCATATTATTATGAATGTTGTAGTTATTTGTTTGTGAATTTGGTATATGTTTTATATAAGATGTTGAATTGAATCTGATGAATGCATATGTTTATGATAATTGTTTGTATGTGTATGATTGACTATAATGAAGGAACTCTTGATGATACTAGTGAGGGAGAGGACTGATGTATTTGTACACGTAAATGAAAAATTATATTAATATTGACGTGTCTTAATTGACACAGTTTTAGATAAAAACTATTGTGATGGTTGTATTGATATAAAATGATATTGATATGCTAATGATATAGACTCCTTTGAATAAAATGTCAAATGTAATATATATAAAGAAGTTTAACCGACATTCATAGTGTTCTTTCCCTTTTGTCTATTGTTGTAGTTTAGAAATATAAGAATTCACTGGCTCATTTAGCTCACTGTTGGTTTAACTAACTTTCCAGGTTTAATTAAATTATTAGAAGATGAGCGATGAAGGAGAGAACATTTATAAAACTCATAGACAACCATCAACGGGGTAATTGTAATTGTATCATTTTAATTTAATTTGTAGTGACTCTTTTATTTGTTAAATTGTAGAAAAATATAGAAAATTTAATTCACACCATCTGACCAACTATACCCATCTTAGCTAATTCCAAGCTCTGGGTCAGGAGTCGTGACAAGTGGACCCTTGCGGGCCTCCCTCTTTGATATAGAGAGTGTGAGTGAGGAAGTTGAAGAGCGCTCCTCTGCAAAGCCGCGAAGGCAAATGATGAAACTAGGGAGAGGAGACGATTGCGAACTTGATTGATCGTGTATGACTATGTTGCAGTGAAGACGAGGGAGCCATGGTGTATGAAGTCGAGCAATGCAACATATAACTTTGAGCAACAAGTTGGGGTTTAATCAAGTGAACATATGAAGTTTGGAAAATGTAAGAATTTAAAATGCTTCAAAGGTAGCTATGAGTTGAACTTTGAAGAAGTGAGTGTAGAATTTAATAGAAACCAAATTGATTAAAAAATTTTGCTAGGATTTATGAGTAGGTAAGGCATAATTCAAAGGGGATTTCGCTTTGCATTTCAATGTTGGAATGTGTATCCAAATTCTAAATGTTTGAAACTTTGTTTGTAACAAAAGTAATTGACTTGGGGTAAGACTTTAGATGATGAAAAGATTAATGAATTTAGTTTGGTTGAAATGATATCATATGAATTCACAGAGTATGCTTTATATTCCATGAACTTTTGATCTTTAGTATTATGCATGATTTACCTATATTAGTATCATATACTTAATAACATCATCAATGTTTATGTTATATATATTGAGAGCAAGTGATACTATTTTTTGAAATACATTATGTTGATAATAATCATAAACATCATGTAAATGAGAAGCTTATTATAAAATTTATGAATAATTAATAGCAATATAATAGAGATTGCTATTAATTGTAGTTTATTGAATTGATTAAATTTATATATTAAGTATTTAGGAATTTCCTATTAAATTATTATGAAAAAAAATAGTATTTGAAATTGAATTGAATAATATTAAATATTATTGCATTGTTAGACTTTATATGATAAATTGCATAACTTTAGTACGTTTGCATAATAAATAATAAAAACTACATGATTTACATGTATTCAAATTGAGCATTGAATCAATCTAAATGTGAACTTCTCTGTAAATTCTAAAGAAAAACTTTAATACAAGTCCCATGCATTGTTTTAGCATTTTCAATCTAATTAATACATGTTATTAATGTAATTTTGCGTATAAATTATAATAATTAAAATTAATAATAAAATTTTAATATAACAATAAACATCTTGTTGGGACTTTTTTTTTTCAATACCCATTGGAATTCCCAAATTAATTTCAATACCCTTTGAAATTCTCATATTAATTTCAATACCCATTGGAATTCCCAAATTAATTAAAACGCTGTTTTAATTTTAATAACTGTTGGAATTCCTTGGTGTTTTTAATAGAAATAAATTTCAGAATGTGGTTCATATATTGTCAAAGTTCAACACAAGAATTTAGTAACATTCCATAATGTGCTCACATCTATTGAACTCTGTGATGGGCAAAACACTATAAATTAGATGTGATGTTTGTTGTTTTGGTCCCTTTGTTTTGGTCTTTTGGTCCCTAAGCTTGCTCCTCTTCATTTTATTTGCTTCATCCAGTTGTGAGTGAGGAAAACTTAGAAGATCTATAACAGAAAATTAGTCGTGTGAGTGTCGACTATGTTCGTATAAGTTATGGCTGGAGGTATGTATGATCATATCTCGTTTCCGCTTATCGATTCAATATAATAAAATAATAAAATTATAAAATAATATTTACATCTGAGTGATTAATTCATATGTAAATATAATAAAATAAAATAAATAATATATTTATTTATGGGCAGAGCATTATAAATAAATATAATAAAATAATAAAATTAACCAGAGATATTATGTGTGGAGCCTATATAACATGTACATTGTATACAATGAGTACACGTACTCGTATTTTTTTCGGTATCCGAATATAATTCTACATTCGAACTCAGCACATAAGATTTTTTTTTTCTAAATAACATCTTAACATAATTAATAAATATTAATACAATGCAAATAAAGGTATATAACCACAACATATAATCATGTAAAATTAAAAATGAAATGGCTCAAAAATTAAGCATTTGAGCATATAAAGGAGACCACTGCTCAAGCCAAGGGCTTCTTAGCTGGTTAATGAAAGGGTCTTGAGACCAGTCAAAGCTTCCATGGCTTGGAACCTGAAGCTCCGGCAAGCTTGGGAGCTGCCGGCCAGTTGCCGGCTCTGGTATCTTCATCGTCAACTCCGGCAAAGAGGAGACCTCTCCCGCGTCCACTGGCACTTCTTGCTCCTCCTTCATCTCTTCGGTAAATTTATCAGCCGTAAAATTTTGTAAGGTTTCATGGCCTGAGGAATTTGAGGAGGTATCTGCCATGTATGCACGGCTTTCTTCTTCCATGGCTGCCCTCTGTTCTAACTCTCTTAGTGGAGTGGCTTTCCTGTAGACTTTGCATAGAACTATGTCTTCCTGTTCAAATAAAATTATAACCAAAATCATATCTAGACACTTTTTTTTTTTTTTTTCAAAAGAAATTCTCCCTAATGACATGAATGGTTTGGGTGTGAATTTAGCTCCGCGATCTTTAATCACCCCAAAATTGATTCGAATTTTGGCTCGGATCGAGATTGGATTGAAATAAATGAGCTGAGCCAACATGCCAAAATTTTGGATAGGAATTTTTTTTTTCTTTTTCGAGATGATTTCGAGCCAAATCTAGTTCAGTTTGAAATTGAATCATTAACGACCTTAATAATATTAGGGCTTCGAATTTCATAAATTTAGCTTGAAAATTATTAATGACTCAAAAATTGATTCGTTAACAGCCCTAAATGTTAGGGTTTCAATGAATGAAAGAAATACGTACCTTAGGCATCGGAGATACAGAACCAAAGGAATTGGAGGCATCAGGAAGACGATACTCATTCATAATCCAATCCGTCTTAGTACCGCGCGGCGCTCGACCTCCATAATAAACCAGAGTCTTCTTCAACCCAATAAGCCTTCTCGGATCCGTAGAGCTCCGAATATGGCGGTCCGATCCCGTCGCCTTCCAAAACCCTCTCTCCGTGGTCCTATTCGGCCGGCCCCCACTACCCTGCCTCCGATCCCTAGGCACAAAAAAATACCATTCCCTCTCTCCCATCTTCGCCATCGCTGCAGCCAATCAATCAAGATCAATAAACTTTCAATTTACTGAAATCATCATCATCAGGAGCAGAAATAGAAATATACAGCGGATTGCTCAAATTCGAGTTACCTGGGAGATCCCATGGATCGTACAGATAGAGATTGACCGTGGCGATTATGTCAAAGTTGAACTTCTTTCCGACGGCGGCTCGCCGGAGATAGAAATTGAGTAGTTCTTCTTCTGTTGGGTGGAATCTGAATCCAGGCAGCTCAATCTCTGAACTATTTCTCTCCATCTTCCTTCTCAAAAATAGCTCAATAGAATTTGGAATGGGAATGCCGGGCGCGGTCCTGGGCTATATAAAGGAGTAGCATATTGGTCCCACTGCGCTTTGCATTCTCAGTGCGCCACGTGGCACCGTGCTACGTGGCGTCTTACTGCTAACGTGGGCCCACACGGTTCGGTGGAGTTAAAATTCCTTCAAGAATCCCCTAGTAAAATTAGTTATTAGTTAAAAGAAAACAAGTATTTTTTTTTTTGGCATTTGCAAAATGCCACAAAATTCTTATATAATTACAAAAACAACACCTAAATTTATCTAAAATAATTTTTTTTTTATTTTTTGATAATTTAAAATAAATTTCTAAATGGAAAATAAATATTTTGATGAACAAAAATAATATTGAAAGTCCGTTTTACTACTTAAAAAAAAATTTTTTTTTGAAATAAAAATTGACTGGCGGGCCCCATAAGGAGTGGAAATGTTTTGTCGTGGACTCGTTTACTTATCCTTAAAATAGTGACTTGCGTCCTATTGGAATAATTATTTGCATCAAGGAAATTGTCAAATTTGGTGCAATTATTTAATTATAAAATTATGCATGACCATATATTATAATTGTAATTTATTTGTTATTTCCTAATTTACTAATTTACCATGATAAACTTGTATCATAACTAAACCCCTTCGCATTCAATAATGTCTATGTATTCATCTATATATGTAAGAAAAAAAGCATAGATGTCCAATAATAAAAAAAATCAGCTTGGTACTGAATTTGTCAATATGAATGTCCCGGATAGGGCTGTAAACGTGCCGAGCTTGAGCGAACTCAGGCTTGGTTATTGTTTGACTCATTCGAAATAGCTCGTTTTTGAAATTGGCTCGTGAACAGTGTGTCCGTGTTCGGCTCGATTTAAATGTTAGTGTCCGTGTTCGGCTTGAAATTGGCTCGGAAAAATTAAATTGAAAAAAATAGATGTAAAGTGTGAGATTCGAACTTGGATCAAATATATATAAAAGGAGACACTAACCACATTACCATACGAGATGTTATGATTTAAACTTAAATATGAATATATATAATATATTATTATATAAATAATATATGTAATATATTATTATATTAATATTTATATGTTTTTTTAATTTCGCGCTAAAATGAATCAAACACGAGCGAACAAAGAGCTCTTCGTGTTCAGCCCGTTTATAATTCGAGCTTTAAAAATTTGTTCATGTACAACGAGCTATTCACGAACAACGAGTTTTTTTCGACACCCCTAGTCCCGGGTGGTCTCTATGTAATTATCCCATCAAAATAACTTTATTTCCCTGGCTTCGAGGAAGTGCAAAAAAGCCGCGTAAAATGCAAAAATTGGCATCTGTTAATACTCTGTAATATAATATATTAATTGCATTATGAGAATTTTTTTAATTAAAAGGTAAATAATATTTTAATGATGGATTTGCTTGAATTAATGCAGCTGTACATTAATTGTTTAAGCTTAATGATACTTCTTAGAATCTTGTTAATTTGATGGGAGTGTTTAACTTGTAATCTTATATAAATAAGAATGTGATATTATTTATCTTAAACAATAATACTGTCTATAATTACTGCATTAATTATAAATTGCGTGTAAGGTTTTAGCCTGCGCTCTGTCTCCTGTAATTGGGAGGATTTGGTCATGAAAAGGTGGCAGAATGCTACAATTGTGACGAATTCATTTGTAAATATTATTATTATTTTTGCAATTATGTTTTTGCAATAATGTGGATCTTTTATGGATCGCAGATTCGCAGTATTTATAATGTGAGTGCATGACATGATAACAGCTTATAATTTGGCTGGGAACATTTGTTTTGGGGTAATTACATGGAGACCACCTGAAATTTGTTATTTACAAATTGACGGCGGCCCTCTTCCAATTAGTTTTCAAATTCTCGCTCGAATATCAAAATTCAGCCCATATTTATCATTTTTATCGGATTCTCATTGATTTGATCGTGGCACATGCGATTCAAAAAAAGTCACCTAGGTATTAATTTGTAAATATCAATATTTTAGATGGTCTGTATCTAATAATCCTTTTTTTTTGGGCAAATATGTTGGGTCATCTAGTGGTCTTCCAAAAATTCATTTCTCGTCATTGCATCTAAAATATTACTATTTAGTAATTTATCATCATCTTTTATCTAATTTTCAAATTCTCACTCATATATCATAATTCATGATAAAGTCCCACTCCATATTTTTCACTTTTATCAATTTATCGATGGTTTGATTGTCGCTCCTTGACCTCGTTGATATCACCTTGACGGCCCGATGCCGATGAGTTGCCGCCCGTTTGAGATACGACGATTTGTCCTCTGCCCTTTGGCCCGGACGTGCTTTGACGTATTGGGATATCCCCGTCAAGATGATTTAGGTTAGTCCGTGGGCCCCATGTGATGATTAGCCACTACCCATTTGGGATGTGAGAGACTCACTCTCTGCTCGATGGCTTAGTGTGAGCTTTGAAGTATTGGGACTGTTCCCACACGGAATAACCCTTCGCAACGTCGGGGAGAAACTCCCCACATTTCCCCACCAAAACAAGAGGCGGCGGTGCCACGTTTTCAAGGGTCTAAACCTTAGGTTTTCTGGGTGAGGTCGTTAGTACTAGCGTGGCTCGCTATCATGTGTGGTCATTTGCACCTCATTGTTTGCATATGTGCGTCTTGCATTGTTACATATTGTGTGTCATATATCACACTTGTACCTTGCACGTTGCACTCGCACTTGCATCTTATATCTTGCACCTGCACCGACACCACTTGTGCCTCGATCGTTATCCCAAACCGGTCACATCACTATTGTTTCAGCCGGCTACCCCGGTCCAGTTGGCACAATACTTTGGTTTGACCAGATGCTCCATCTGGATCGACCTACCATTTGCTCCTTTGCATGTTGTGTATATGCATGTACATGTTTGTCTGCATAATCGATGTGAAGGTAGAGTGATCCTAAAAGGTAGAGGTAACTGGGCCGGGGTACCACGGACCCGTCATACACAACCTGAGATCTACCTGGTCGTGAAGGTAGTCGACCCAACACAACCTGAGATCCCCGGTCAGCAATCCGTGACTTGCATCATCCATGGGAACCTCGGTAGCCCTAAGGTCAAAGGAAGGAAACTCTATCCTATGACTACAAGCTGGAGCTCCAAGAGGTGGGACTTATACCTGCCGAAATGGCAAGGATGCCTATGGAAGAAGAGAAATGGAGGTTCAGCTACAAAGCTAGAAACACTCCAAACAAAAGGACTTACACCCCATCTAGGTCGGGGAGGCTTCTAACACCCAAGGCGCATCATGAGCCATGCCTTAAAAGTGGGGGAAGCTAATAGCACCTGCAAGAAAAATGGTCAGAAATCATTACTTGATCCCCTCATAACGGTACCTGTGTGTGTATAAAAATAGACAAGGCTCTCTGCAGAAGAAACGATCGACAAGCTGGTGACTCCTTTAAAAATAAAAAAAAAAGAAAAATGATCCCCGTCAAGATGATTTAGGTTAGTCTGTGGGCCCTGTGTGCTGATTAGCCACTACCCATTTGGGATGTGAGAGACTCACTCTCTGCCCGATGGCTTAGTGTGAGCTTTGAAGTATTGAGACTGTTCCCACACGGGAACGCCCTAGCACACTACCACACATATGCAACATGCAGACACACCACAAGTATAATGCAAAAGAAAAATATCTGGCTAGGGCAACCAATCCAACAGAGAACAATAGCCAAACATCAAAAAGATTATCTAGCACCCTAAATCCTAGCCTAGCACACCATCTAACGAAAAAGTGCATCAACCTAGTATCTAAGCGGGGGGTAAGTCTAGGTATAATATGACTTTGACGGGGTCGTCATACCGGCCCCATCCTAAAGATCCAAAGGATCTAAAGAGTGTCACGAAGAATGGTGACATGAGTTAGATCTATTAGATATTTAGCACTGTCATACTCATGTCAATCCCGATGACTTAGCTCGTATTGCTCACTGGGATCAACCCAGCAAGCAATGCTCGTTAAGGCATCGCGACCGACACGGGGTCACTCTTCTAACGAACCTGGCTCGCTACCAATGCAAACATGCAAATGCAAATGCTAATATGATAATGCAGACAAATCAAACAATCAACCCAACAAGCAATGCTCGTTAAGTCATCGGGATTGACACGAGTATGATTGTGCTAAACACCTAATAGATCTAACTCGTGTCACCATTCTTCGTGACATCCTTTAGATCCTTTGGATCTTTAGAATGGGCCAGGTATGACGACCCCGTCAAAGTCATATTGTACCTAGACATACCCCCGTATTGACCTTAACAATACTTTGGTTTGACCCGAAGGTAGGCATGCCGTAGCGGCAGGGGCTCGAAAAGAGGGTATACTGGTAAGGCAGTGACCCGAAAGAATGCAACTCAAGGAGATGATATCGATCATGCAGACAAACATGTACATGCACATACACAACATGCAAA